GAGAGAGAGAAGCTACAGAGTCTCGCGCTCGACTCAAACAACAGGTGGTATCAGAGCCCGGCTCCGTCGAACAAGGGCTAATTACCCGCGGAGAAAATGAGCTCGAGTGCAAGCAATGGTGGAGTGTTCATGGCCGACGGATTTTCTCAGACCAGGCCCCCAAGATTCGAAGGAGTACACTATGGTTATTGGCGCAATCGCATGGAACATTTCATAGGATCGACCGATCCTGATCTCTGGAGCATTGTGCTAGATGGACCACTCGAAGTGAAAGAGGTACGATGGAAATGGTCCGACGAAGGTAAGCGGAACTTCCAGTTGAATTCCAAGGCAACAAATCTCATGTATTGCGCGCTCGGTCCGGAAGAGTATCATCGGGTCTCCGGATGCAAAACTGCAAAGGAGATCTGGGATAAGCTGCAAGTGGCTCATGAAGGTATCAGTCATGTCAAAGTATCCCGAATAAATCGATTGAAGTAGGATTTCGAGTCTTTTGTAATGAAGCCAGAGGAAACCATCAAGGAAATGCACGACAGGTTCACCACCATAGTAAATCGTCTGAGGAATCTGGGTGTAGAGTATGGGAGTGGAGACCTGGTGAGGAAAGTACTTTGGGCTCTTCCAAAACGCTGGACTCCTAAGGTCACTGCAATTGAAGAGTCGAAGGATTTAACAAAATTGAGTTTAGATGAACTCATGGGTTCACTAATTACACACGAAGAAAAACTCAGAAGAGAAGAAGGAGAAGGGACTCGAAAGGAAAAGAAAAGTATTGCGTTCAAGGTATCGGCACGAGAAGAAGAATTTGACTGTCTGGAAGACATGGAAGATGAAGAATTGGCCATGCTAAGTAAGCATGTGGCCAAGTTACTCAGACTACGCAAAGAAAAGAGAAAAGGAGGTTTCCCTAATCGCACAAAAGAGGGTGATTCAGAAAAGGAGCAAGGGAAAATATTTAGGGCCAATCCTAGAGTAAGACGAGAGTTCAGTAGCAATGACAACAAGAGCGGATCGTCAGCTGGATGCTTCAAGTGTGGGAGGAGTGGACACATCAAAGCAGAGTGCCCACAAATGAAGCGGGAGAAAGCATACACAGCCACTTGGAGTTGCAGTGAGGATGAAGAGGAAGAAGTCGACCCCAAATATGAAGCATACATGGCCCTGGACGAAAGTGATGATGAACTGGAAGCCTCACAGGTAAGTAATCTTAACTACTACTCTGATTCATGTGATGATGATGGCCAATTGATAGAAACTATCAGGGATATTCAGATAGATTTTGCACGGGTTAAGTCAAAACATGCTAAAATGAAATCTGAATTTGAAGAACTATCTAAGAACTACAATGAATTGAAAAAGGAAAAACTAGAATCAGATAGAAGATTGGAAGAAGCCTTAAGAAGAAAGGCAGCTCTAGAGAAAGAAGCTTCTAAAGGTCAGAAAGAAAATAATCGCCTGCGTACAGAACATAGAAAGACATCAGTAACAAAAACAAACTATAAAAGGTCAATTTCTGAATGGTTTTACCGTCATGGGTTAGGACACTACATTTCACACTGTCAGAAACGAATAGCCAAGGAAACCAGGTTAAAAGAAACAATGTGCTTCTCTTGTCATACAACAGGACATATGAGTTATGATTGCACTAGTGCCAAGATAAAAGGTAGAGTATCCAAATTGATATGGATACCTAAAACAAAATAAAACATTTCTGTGTCCAGGTCTGCTTCCAAGTGAGCATGGAAGACAGCGAATGGATTCTGGATAGTGGCTGCTCACACCACATGACAGGAAATGAAAAACTCTTCTCAAAATTGATTAAGGGTAAGAGAGGTAAGGTTTACTTTGGGGATAATTTCTGCACTGATGTCCTATGAAAGGGAGAAATTGGATCAGGACCAACTATAACTAACGTGATGTGGGTTGATGGGCTTAAACATAACCTATTCTCAATTAGTCAAATGTGTGGAGAAACAAATAGAGTAATTTTCGAACCAAACAAATGCTATGTTGAGAATATTGAGAACGGAAAAGTACTGTTTACAGGTAGAAGGAAAGGAAAATTGTTTTGCATAAATCTGAATAACAAAAATGATTTTAATGAGATGTGTTTGGTATCTGTAAACAAAGATGAACAGTTAGAATGGCATAGGAAGATGGGGCACATCAGTGTAGGGTCTTTAGCTAAACTGGTGAGCTTGGGGAGTGTAACTGGAATACCTAAACTCAGCAGTAAAAAGGAATTTTTTTGTGAAGCATGCACAAGAGGTAAACAAGTCAGATCCTCTTTTAAGAGCAAACCTTTAATTTCTACATCTAAGCCATTAGAACTGCTACATCTTGATCTCTTTGGTCCATGCAATGTAATGAGTCTTGGTGGAAAATACTATGCTTGTGTAGTAGTAGATGATTATTCTAGATTTACATGGGTTTTATTTCTATCAAACAAAGGAGAGACTTTTGTGCACTTTAGAAACTTGATTAAACGACTAGAAAATGAAAAAGGAACCAGAATTGTAAGCATAAGAAGTTATCACGGGGGAGAATTCATATCTGACAGTTTCGATAAGTTTTGTGATGAAACAGGAATTTTTCATAATTTTTCTGCTCCTAGAACTCCACAGCAAAACGGAGTGGTAGAGAGGAAAAATCGCACCTTAATAGACATAGCTAGGACAATGTTGAATGATTATGGTTTGCCTAAGCATTTTTGGACAGAAGCCATAAACACTGCATGCTATGTAATCAATAGAGGTTTAATCAGGTCTAAACTAAACAAAACGCCCTATGAATTATGGAAAAATAGAAAACCAAATGTGGCATACTTTCATCCATTCGGGTGCAGATGCTTTGTACTAAATACCAAAGACAACTTAGGGAAATTCGACTCTAAGTCAGATGAGGCAATCTTCTTGGGGTATTCTATTCATAGCAGAGCATATAGAGTGTATAATAAAAGGACCCTCAAAGTTGAGGAGTCCATAAATGTGGTATTTGATGATTCTCCTAGTGAGTGTGCAGATCAAATTGATGAAGATGATGATCTCGGGTTAGGAAGATCAATTACATCAAACCAAACTAAGCAAACTGAGCAGGAGACAAGAAATGAAGACTTACCAGAGATGATAAATCAAGAATCTGCAGTAGAGACTGATATAAACAGAGTCAAGGAAGCTCCCTTGCACATTCAGAAACAGCATCCTCCTTCTCAAGTTATTGGTGATCTAAGAGAAGGTATGGTTACCCGATCTAAACTATATTCTGTGAATGCTGCTTTTGTGTCTTTACTAGTACCTAAGAACATTAAAGAGGCACTAAATGATGAATTCTGGACAGCCTCTATGCAAGATGAAATAGGATATTTTGAAAGGTTGAATGTCTGGGAATTAGTTCCAAAACCTGAGGATAAACCTATAATTGGAACTAAGTGGGTATATAAAAATAAAACTGATGAAATTGGTGATGTAACTAAAAACAAATCCAGATTGGTAGCTCAAGGATATGATCAAGAGGAAGGAATACACTTCGATGAATCATTTGCTCCTGTAGCTAGATTAGAGGCAATCAGACTACTGTGTGCATTTGCTGCATCTCAAAAATTTAAACTATATCAGATGGATGTGAAAAGTGATTTTCTTAATGGAGATTTAAAAGAAGAAGTTTATGTGGCTCAACCCCCTGGGTTTGAAAATCACAAGTTTCCTAATCATGTGTATAAATTAAACAAAGCCCTATATGGTTTAAAACAAGCTCCTAGGGCTTGGTATGATAAACTTAGTACTTTCTTAATTAAGGATGGGTTTCGTAGAGGATCTGTAGATAAAACCTTGTTTATCAAAAACTTAAGTGGTCATACTATGCTTGTCCAATTATATGTAGACGACATTATTTTTGGTTCAACAAGTCAAGAAATGTGTAGACAGTTTGAATCAGTTATGAAAGGGGCTTTTGAAATGAGCTTAATGGGGGAACTAACCTATTTCCTGGGTATGCAAGTTCAACAGACTAGCAAAGGAACATTTATAAGTCAAACCAAGTACTTAAACAACATGCTTGATAGGTTTGATTTTAAAAACTTGAAATCAGCAGCTACACCAATGGGCTCCACAATAAAACTATCCCTGGATGAGTCAGGAGAACCAGTTAGTGATAAATTGTATCGTGGAATGATAGGTTCTCTTCTCTACTTAACTGCAAGTAGACCTGATATAATGTATAGTGTATGTGCTTGTGCCAGGTTTGAAAGTAATCCTAAGATTAGTCATCTATCAGCAGTAAAACGCATATTTCGGTATTTATCTGGTACTGGTTCACTTGGGTTTTGGTACTCTTGTGAATCAAGTCTTGAACTGCTAGGTTATAGCGATTCAGATTATGCTGGTTGTGTGACCGATAGGAAGAGTACCTCTGGGACCTGCCATTTTCTTGGCACGTCGCTTATATCTTGGGCCAGCAAAAAGCAAAGCTCTGTTGCATTATCAACTACCGAGGCAGAGTATATTGCAACAGGGCTAGGCTGTACTCAATTACTGTGGTTGAAATACCAGTTACAAGATTACGGTCTTAGTATAGGGTCTCTTCCCATATTATGTGATAACATGAGTGCAATAAACATGGCAAAAAACCCTATTCAACATTCTCGAACTAAACACATCGAAGTTCGTTACCATTTTATTCGGGATCTCGTACAAGATGGCAAAATTCACTTAGAATTTATTAACACAGAAATGCAATGGGCTGACATTTTTACTAAGCCATTAAGTGCTGAAAAGTTCTTACCTATTTGACATGAACTTGGCATGTTTACTCAAGAAGAAATTAGTGATGCTTGATTGCCCATAAAATATTATCTTGCCTTGTTTTCACTAAATCCCTCTTTTCACTGATTCTTTCCATCTCTCTCGAAGAGTTTCCCTAGTTTAAGTTCAGTCTCGTATCTATAAATCCTCATTCTGACTCTTCGTCTCACCTCACACCTCTCTAACTGTCCTCAACCAAAAATGGCCTCCAACAATGTTCAACTTCAGTCGTCGGTTCTTTTTAAAAATCAAAGCTTTCGGAACGCTGCTACCTATTCTAGGTATCTTAGGCGCTTCCAAGATCGTCCCCTTTATCCATCCTTTTCCATTCAGCCCACTGCCTTCTCCAAATACGACATGAACATTTCTGCCTATCTTGACAAGCTAGGGTGGGTATCCTTGGTGTCCAATATGCGCTTCAGCCAATGTCCGGAAGCTGTGCGTCTCTTCTATGTCAACCTCCGACGTGGTCCTGGGAGTGATCCCTCTTTTTTCACTACTCTTGTCTATGACTATGAAATCAAAGTGACGCCTGATCTGCTGGCGTCCGTTCTGGACATTCCTCATGCTGGCATTCGGGCTGGAACAGACAGTGAGTTCCACCATTTTGGATTCAGGTTCGATCAAGAACTTGTCTCTCTTGTGCATGATATCGGACGCTGGTTCCCGTCCCAGCTTGCTGCGAGACGTCTGCCAGACGATCTCAAGGTTCTGTTTTTCTTTCTCACTCGGTGGTTCTTGCCCCGTGACCTTGCTGGTGCCGATATCATCCACTCTCCTGATCTTTGGGTTCTCTTTAACGCGCGGGCTGGTCGTCGTATCAGCTATGCGTCGCTCATGTTCCAACACATGATCAAATTTGGGACTGAATATTATGGTGGTCCACTGCCATTCGGTCCTCAAATCCCTCGTTTTCTGTATCATCTCGGCATTGATTTGCGTGACAAGGTCATTGTTTGTGACGTCCCCAGCATGTTCTGGAACGTGTTGATGCTTTGGTTGGCCCCCGCAAGCCTGTCACTGGCTCAGGGGGAGTGCAGAGTCAGCAACAGCTGGCTGCATCAGCTCTGGTTAATGCAGCAGCTGCATCATACAAGCAAAAGGCTGGTGCTCAGAGTGCCCTAAAAGGCGGCTGATGATTGAACAAGATCTAATGCTGCCAAAGTTTGTCTATGAATCAAATCAAATTAGTGATCCAATTAGCCCTGACCGAACTCTGGCAATGAGAACGATCGGGTTTCAAGCTATGCTTCACCTCCTAACTATCCCTTAATATCAGCAGGAGTGCCTAGAGTAGTGTTGTTTGCTTTGCTCTGGTCTGGTATGTTGGGCCAAATAAATGTTGAGTATCTTGTGTGATCTAGGGATTATGAGAATTAAATAAAAGGCACGTTTTTCTAAAGTATGATGAATTTCAATCTCGTTACTCTACGCGAATGTATTGGAACAGGCTGCACCCACCGGTTGTTACATGTGTGCAGGTTGCTGAGTTGAGCCACTGAGAAGCTTAGGGGGAGAATGTTGAAAGGAGATAGGCAAGCTTGTCCAGGCTCAAACCAAGGAAGGTTGAAGAATGTGATTAAAATGGAAAGGCGAAGTCTCGGCAAGACAGTTAATGAAGGAGTATGTCAATCAAGATCATACCAAGATTCACTCGGACTAATTGGCAGCAATCATCAACGGCTAGAAAGGTGATTGTATAAAAGAGATAGTAGGCTGGGTAGCTAGGATCAGTTTTCACAGAAGAATCAAAACAAACAAGGGGTATTGTTAAGGTTTTGAGTGAAAAGGAGATAAATAGCTGTCAGGGAGATAGCGAGTGAGACTTAGCTGATCACATTTGAACAAAGGCAGGGAGCTGTAGGTTCAGTGGGATTCTAATCAGAGTGACAGGGAGTCACTGTGAGATCACGGCTGTATTGGTGTAATCAGAAACCAAAATCGTAGTAATTCGTCAAAGGACTCAAGAAGAGTACCTTTGACCGTGGATTAGTCGATACTGAATTTATCAGTATCAGATACCACGTAAAAATACTGTGTTCAGTGTTCTTTTCCTTTTCTGCTGTTTATTACTCATCTCCAGGATTTCATTTATGTTCTTGGTTTAGTCTGTGTTTGAGCTTGGTGCAGAACAGAGCTCGATCGAGGTGCTAGAAGAAAGGAGAAGGAACTGAGACATCAAAACGCACCGTGGAAATAAAATAAAGTTGGGCCTGATTTCTGGTTGACAGATCACAAATATACTAAGCCCAACCAACCTTGCGTTATCGGGTACCCAGTTCCAAACTCGGTGCCGTTTTAATAAACAGGAAAGGGAAGCTACTTTACCTTGTGTATCGATTTGCAATTCCAGTTTCTCGATTGCTTTCACTTGTTCTTGTCGAAACCGAAATTAGGGTTTTTGCAGAGTCTGAATCAAAGGAGAAAGAGAGAGAGAAGCTACAGAGTCTCGCGCTCGATTCAAACAACAGGACGATGTTGTCTTGAAGAAGAGAAGCAGTGTTGAAGATAAAGAAGAAGAACGACAAATTTTTGTTTTGTACTTAGCCGTTAACATTTAGTGTTTATTTAAAACTAATAGCCTATCACGTAAGCCCACGTGGACCATTTCGTTAATGAAGATTGTAGCTATAAAAGCTACAGAGAGCTCAGTTTTCTGCTGAGCTTCTCTCCCAAATTATCTGATTTTGCTCTAATTCTTCGTGGTATCAGCGCAACACAGACTCTAGGGTTTGAGCTCCCACCAACAATCACAAAAAATGATGCATTATACAATCTCAACTAAAAGTTGAGATTGTTGTGATTGTTGGTTTTAGATTTGTGTCAACTTTCTCTTTCCATTTATATTCATAATAGTTTTTGTCTAATTCTAAAAGTTGAGGGTAAATGTGACATTTTCCCATAAAATAACTTTATGTAAATTAATGCATAAAGTAGAATCTCAACAACCAAACAATATATTGTTAAAATGCATCCATTGTATCAATACATGCATTTATATTATGGCGATTCATTACAATGCACCTATTTAACATTCGCAACTTCCAAACGACCCCTAAAAGTAATTTCCATAGATCCCTCAGATCCCGACACCGCTAAACTTTATTATTTAATTTAGCGTACAGATCATTAGGGACGCTTAAAAAAATGTCATACTTAGTTAAATGTTTATCCCCTTGTCCCTCAAATTACTTAAAATGGTATTTCTCCGCAGAAAATTAAACCTTTGTCCCCTATGTTTGTCCCCAATGTTTATTGGTTTTGTAGTGTCGACTTCGAAGCTTGTTGTTAACATAACTCAAGTTTATAATGTTCTTTCTACACTTGCAACTGATAGAATCAAAACTAGTTTTGAAAGCAAATAAACTCATGAATATGACTGATGCACTTTTGTCTCTACTAGATAATTCATCATGAACAAACAATTGTCAAATAATAGTGTCATGAATGACACCAATAAGTTAATTAGTTTTTTGTCAATTAATGACAAATTATGAGTTGTGGTATAGGAGCAAAATACCTACTACAACAAATTTGGCCTATTATGACAAAACAAATTTGTCATATTAGATACTCATTTTGTCATATTAGCTATAATATAACAAAAGGTGTTGTCACAAAGGTTTGTCAATTTATCGTCGTCAGGATAGGTCAAATGTGACAAAAATTTAAAACTAGGTTGTCACATTTGCTTTTAGTATAACTGAGGTTCTGGGTAGTCTATTGTGACAAACAGAGATGTTATGACGACATATTTTGTCATTACAGTTGTCATAATCTGGTGATTTTGAGAGAATTGTTTGTCATATTACACGATTATATTTTGTCATAACTGTATATTGTGACGACTGCATTTTGTCATAAGTGTAGACAAGGATATTTATTTTCCATCGATTGTGCCCAACTCGCAAATCCAAATTCATAAAAAGGAACTCACAAATCTAGCAAAGCTTCGTTATCACAATTTGTTCTTTATTCACAAACCCAGAAAATCATTCACAATCCTATAAAATTTTCACAAACCTAGAAAAGTTTCGCAAACCCAGAAAAGCTTTGCTAACCCGGCAATTGAAACCCTTCCAAACTAACCAATTCCAGAATTGCTCATTCTCCTCCTCAAACCCAGAATTGGAACCCCCAGAAAGTAACAAACACAAGAAAGAAAAAAAACGCATGCATCCGAATCCTTCTCTCACCGTGGCCGCTAGTCTCGCACCGAACCTTTTACTCGTTGATCTCCAATCGGCCTTAGACTCGTCATTCTCGGCCTTAGACTCGTCAATCTTTGTCTCGGGCACCTTCTCCTCCTACATCCGCAGCCTCACCCTCAGCCCCCACCTCGCGGAAACCCCTTCCTCTGCCGAAGCAAAACCTACAAAAAAAAAAAAGATTAAACAAGACTGGTCCAATCACTGCTCGCATCGGAACTCTCCTCCATCGTGGGCTCTCGATCCGCCCATCACCTCTTGAGCTCGGCGCCATCGTCGCATGTCAATCTCTCTGCCCGTCGCCTCTCGATCTATCCACCCCTTACCTCTTGATCTCTCTGCCATCGTCGCCGGATATCGGCAATCATTGCCCTCTCAATCTCTCTGCCAGCATCGCTGGTTATCGCAAGAGGAGGCAGCTAGCGGCGGTCTTTTTGAGAGAGGAAGGAAGAGATGAAAGCTTCGTCTTCTTTGAGTGTAAGGAGTAGGTGAAGGGGCGTTTTTTGGAGAGAACAAAGAAGGGGAGAAAAGAAGGGAAGTTTAAAAGGGGAAGAAAGAGTAAATGGGGTGAGATAAAAGAGGGACGAGGGGCGGACGTTTCAGTTAGAATTTTAGGGTTAGGTGATTTTTTTTAATGGTGAGAAAGGAGAATTTTCAAATTTTTATGGGAAAAGTTTTGGCGGAAAAGGAAATTTTTGGAGCCATAATTTTTTTTAAAAATGGGCGATTAAATATTGGAGCCATAAATTTTTAGGGGACAGTTAAAATTGGGCGGGACTGAAATTTTATTGTGTGGTGATGTTTCTTTTTTGTTTTTTTATGCTGAACACAAGCAGATATAACGAAAATGCCTTTTTTCAAAAACGAAACCACCATATTATGACGAACATGTCTTTTGTCAAAGCCGAAACCACTATAGTAGGACGAACACGTCCTTTTGACAGCTCCTCGTGGGATTATTTCTATCTATTGTGACAAAATACTTTGTCATTTAAACAATTTAGGAAGACATAATATGACAAAAGCTACTCTCACGATATAATTTGTCACTTTTCTGTATCTTACATTCCGATATGGGATGCCTATTGTGACAAATTTAATTATGACACAAAATATTTGTCACATCACTCACTTTAAATGACAAATTATTCTGACAACAATTTTTTTTTTGTCACATTAGACATACCAAATAGGACATATATTATTTTTCTCATATCACCGTACCTATTGTGACAAATACAAAATGACAAAATAATTTTTTTGTCCTAATATGCCAAATCTGTAGTGACCCTTATGTTACTTGTAAATGTGGTATTTGTGTCCCGCCCCAAATGTTACCCCAGTCCACTTGACAATGCTCAAGATAGGGTGAGTAACCTTAGTGTGAGTAACCTTAAGGTGAGTAACAATGAGTAAGCAAATCTGGACCCTTCTTTTAAGTGGCTGCAGATCTAAGGGTGGAGAATTAAAGGAATTTATTTTCTCTAGTTTTCTTAATTGGATCATATCTTCTTCATTCTAACTCGGATTTCAATTTTTTTTTTGCAGAGATGGAACGAGTTCGTTGTGCTTTCAATATTTTTTATGAATTTTTTTTCATCCCTATCGTTACCAACTCCATACCATATGGTATCTCCTTCGTTGTTTAGTCATTTTCGGAAATTTTTGCACAAACGATTTAATCAATGATCTATTGGATTTCAAAATTTTATGGGGGAAAAAATTCTATACCTCTCGTTACCAACTTAATACCATACTATACCACCCTGGTATGAGGTGGTATTTTTCATACCATATGGTATGTTGTTATTTAATACCAGTCAATACCATATGGTATTGACTATACCATATTGTATTGACTGGTAATAACTGGCAATTTTTTTGTTCCAAAAAATATCAAAGTGGATATCATTTTGAATCGTTACCAACTCCATACCATACTATACCACCCTGGTATGAGGTGGTATTTTTCATACCATATGGTATGCTGTTATTTAATACCAGTCAATACCATATGGTATTGACTATACCATATTGTATTGACTGGTAATAACTGGCAATTTTTTTGTTCCAAAAAATATCAATGTGGATATCATTTTGAAGAGCACAATTAATCTGATCTAACTGTGCAAAAAAAATTAAATTCCGAGTTAAAACGAGTGAGAAATCGTTCGTTAAAGATTAAGGGAAAGAAAATTAATGATTTTTTCAGGAGAGAGAAGGAGGCGCTGATGTGGAAGATTCTTATTGGGTTATGCATGGGGTTACTCACCGGATCTGCTCCCACTTGGGCAACTGAGGACGTGAGAGTTTTAGCACATTTGGGCCATTTCTGGAGCTGGAGCAAAGTTGCGGCATGAATTGGTGGCCTCTCAGACAGAGACTGGCGTGGATTTCAATCGTGAGCAGAACATCATTGTGGTTTGCGAATAGGGAGAAGCAGAAGACGGCGGCTGAGAGCAACGTCGTGGCTTTGCAAGGAGGTCAAACTTCTTGGTTATAATCCTATTCCAGAGTCTCCGGCTGCTCTCTCCACTCCCAGTGCACCCTTCTTTCCATTCGGATGGCGAATTCTTGGCATTGCTTGATATGGTTGATTCTCGACAATCATAGTTTATTTGAGGAATTTTTTTCAGGTTGTTTTAGCTTTGGCGAAGGCGGAACCGAAGACATAGGTCTTCATCGGCGCCAGGAAGTCCCTGGTGGTGAGGAAGCAGCAGCGCATTTGGAAAGAAATTAATGATAGTTTACCAAAAAATAATAAAATATTAATCATAAAATATTCTTAAATTAAAATATGGCGTGGCATCTACGTGGCAAGTGAGGCTGAGTTGTCGTTGAAGTGTACGTCAATTTACTATCATAGTCAGCATAACGTTAATCTAACTGAAAGATTTTCTAACACTAACATAAGTGATTAGATTTGTCAGCTTTAGTGCATGACTAACCTAATGCAAAAGCCTTGCCTTGAAGTAATTTCAAAAGTGGGCCTTACTACTATTCTCATGGCTTCTGTTATTCAATATGAAAGCTGACCGAGATTATCATTTTTTAATCATAGTAAAAACACAATGATGTCCTGTTTTATCCTAGTTAGGAATATTGACACTTAGAAGAATATGCTATTGATGCTCCGATCTCATATTCCTTCTTGGTTGCAACTTGCAAGGTAGTAATTAAGTATGTGATAGAACCTGAGATTAGGGTTCTATCAGGTCTGGTCGTGAGATTGGGATTTAGGGATTAAGAATAGAATTAGGGATTTGAGAAGAGAAAGATAGAGAATCGGCCTAGGCCTTTAAAGGGATTGAGATCTAGAATTGAGAAGATTGGGAGATTAGAGCTTAGGAGAGATTTCTTAATAATCTTCTTGACTGATTCTCAATGAAACGCAAAGTACATATTTATAACGGAAGACTGGAAAAAACTAATAGACTATCCTAATATGACTCAATGAATCCTAACATATCTAATAAAATCCTAATAATAATGATAATTATGATAGAATCCGTAAATTTAGGTTTCTATCATCCCCTCCCCCTTGAGACCAATCTTGGCCTCAAGGTTGACCGACTCGACCCACTTTTTCTCGACCATCCGCTTTCTTCGTTTCCCGTTGCGCTCAATTCCATGAATGAACTCTTCTCGTGCAAATCCAACTATCCTCGAGTGTCCTCCACCCACGTGACATTTGTCACGTTCTTCATAGCCGAACAATTCGACATCTTCAAATTTTAAAAAATAAGAATTGGGGAATGGTTCTTCATTATGCCCCTCTACCACCTTGAAATTTTCAATGGACAATTCCATCGAATCCGCCATGTGCATAGTGGCGAAGACAAGCTCCTTTGGACTCCATTCTCCTCCAAGTTGGTTTGGATTGAGCTTCCTTGAAAACCCACCTAACCCAATGAGCCTACTATCCTCTTCCTCTAAATTGTGTTCCTGCAAAACGAGCCCAACAAGATAGTACATTGGGGGCCAAAATCTCCCTTGAAAACTCGGCCCACCTTCTTTTCTTAAGAGACAAGAGACGAATTGGGCTTCTCCCTTTTCTGCTAGCCCATTCTTCAGTCCGTCTTCCTCAACCATTGGGGCCTTTGATTTCAGCCCAACCCAACACAAAAGGGAGCTTCTTAAACTGTTCTCGGGCAGCCCAATAGGCGCATCCCTCAGCCTGCTTTTCTCTTGAATATAGTTGATTGTTTTCTTGTGCAACCTGGGTCCAAGTCCAGGCTCAACGAATTTCTCCAATGCCAGCTCGTGGTCTTCCTCAGCAAATGGGCATGTCGATCTCGCACCGGAACCATAGAGAATAGCCTGGGTTAAGATGCCCATATATTTTCCAAGAATGGACCCCTTCTGCTTATGCACATAACCGGAAACAGACCCATGAATTTCTCTCTTACTTGCCAGCTTGTGAATGAGGCCAACGCGAGTTGGCTCGTAAGACTCCTTAGCCCGACCTAATAGGCCCAACAAGGCTTGGCCTTGTTCTTCTTCGCTGACTACGCTAGGTTTCGCAAGAAGGAAAATGGTGTCGCCGCCTTCTTCCCTCTTCCATGGCGGCCAACCTTTCTTTACTTCTTTTTCCGCCGGCGAATGGCGCACCCGGCCACCAGAACACGCCTTCGGCGCCAAATAACTCTGTCTCCCTTCATTCTCGATCAGCGTCTCGATCGAAGCGGCCACCGATCACGGCGCTTCTCGTGCAACCGTCATTCCCCGCGCCAGCCACCGACAAGGCGGTGGCCTGACCGCTGCTGGCCCCAACGTTGACCTCTTATCCCCGACGGTCAACGTCGTCGCAGAAGCCGCTATCTTCTTCTTCGCACGAAACACCAGGTTGAGTTCCCCTTCACTGTTCACCATTGACACCGATCTACCCGACGTCGCCCCAAGTGGAGCACCTCACGATCGCGTCGTCACCGAGGAACCTCAGTTCCCTCGCTCAACTTCACTCTGTCGATTGACGCTTTCGTCGAGCTCCTCCATCGTCGAGGGGGCTTGGGATTCCTGGTAGGTGCCGCCGTGCGAAACCAGAGAGTGGCGATGACAATCACTGTGGCCCGCTCAGCTCTATCGGCAGCAAGGGATTGTGTTGCCTCTAGCGAAATTATGGCGGATGCAGTTGCGGGATTGTGTTGCCTCCTCCTGACATCCATTCTCGGTCCACTCCAGCGGCTACAGCGGTACAGCTGCTTCATCGATGACAGCTCCCTCCGCGGCTGATGCGCCTTCATCAGTCGTTTCCTCTGGCAGGCCTGGTGTGATCGACGGTGTAGTGACATGATCTCCCCCAGCCTTCGTGGCTGCCGCACCTTGCTCCACGACTCGACTTGGGCTTCTTGCATTGTCCTTCTTGTGCTCTTGACGTAGCTCCAAATTCTTGTTTGCTTCGCCCCCTGTGATGGTTAACCTCTCACGACCCTTCTGCATCTCTAAATTGGAGCCATCTCCAGGTCTCTTCTTCTTTTTGTACCTCCAATTAAACCTGCCAATCTTCACCAGTGGATCTTCAATTGAAGCTTCGGGTTCTTGGGACTTCACCAATGAGGTCTTTGAAGCTGCCACGACAATGGGTGTCGGTGTTGGTGTCGCTGTGCTACGAACGGAAGCCGCTGTTGGTGGTGATTGCGACCTCATTTTAGCTGAAGATAAGGCCTTATCGTTGGTGATTTGCTGCTCGGCGGTGATGATGTTTGGGGTGGCAGCGGCGTCGTTAACGCCAGCTCCATTTACCACTGCCATTCCGTCGTCCGCAGCCTCCTCCGTGACTTCCGAGCCGTCATTTGCAGTCACCTCTAAAGAATCTGTCGATGCCGATTCTGGATGGATGTTGGTCGCGCGGCGGCGGGCCATAATTTCCTTGAGTTTGGCTAGAAGTTCTTCAAGGCTTGCCATCATATTGTTGTGGTGAACTTCCATGTTAGCTTCATGTTTTGCTAGGATGGTTTGAGGGGCTTCAATCCCTTGATAGATTTTTTTTATAACAATTTCCTAGTGAGAGTTGTGATGAACTCAGATCAGTGACCATGGCTCCAATACCAAATATAGAACATGAGATTAGGGTTCTATCGGGTCTGGTCGTGATATTGGGATTTAGGGATTAAGAATAGAATTAGGGATTTGAGAAGAGAACGATAGAGAATCGGCCTAGGCATTTAGAGGGATTGGGAGATTAGGGTTTAGGAGAGATTTCTTAATATACTTCTTGACCGATTCTGAATGAAACGCAAAGTACATATTTATAACGAAAGACTGGAAAAACCTAATAGACTATCCTAATATGACTCAATGACTCCTAACCATATCTAATAAAATCCTAATAATAATGATAATTATGATAGAATCCGTAAATTTAAGTTTCTAATTTTCTATCAGTATGGCCTCGATGATGTTTGCCTTATGTTTAACTAGGAGTGATTGGTAACTCCAGCCTGCTAACCACAATAAACTTATCATATGGTTGGTTTAGCACACTAATTTTTGTTGTTTTGATACACAATAGTTAGATCGCATATCCATTAATGGATAATACAAAAGTACAAAACAAGTGTAAGAAAATGCTATTAAAAAAACACACACAAGGCTCAAGTACTGAAAATTCAAAGCCCAAATCTGGATCACTACTCTCCCAAACAAACTCCAAACCAAAATGTAAATTACTAGCCCTAGATGAAAACCCAGGGGGAATTCACATGCGCATAAGTACTATTGTTGAGAAATCCACACATAAAGTAATACAACCATCCATTTTTCAAAACTCAATTGTCCTCATCCTCCTCCTCCTCGTCTTCATCATCATCAAAATCTTCATCCTCGTCCAAGGCGGTGAATTCTTTTAGAGCATTCCTCAATTTCACTATTTTAGCTTTTGCTATTCCAAGTTGTTCAATTTTCACTGTCACCTTATTGGTTTGCTTTTTAATCTGCCTGTCCTTCTTCTTGATCATTTTCTCCTTTTGGTCGATCATTTTCTTATCAGCTTCCAACTTCGTTACCTGGTCAACAATCTCTTTATCTTTCTCCTTAACCTCCTCTTCTTTGTTCTTTAGTTCTTCCTTCATCTTACCAATCTCTTCATCTAGTTTCTTCTTCATCGCCTCTTCCACCTCGATCATGTGCTTGTTTTTCGCCTCTAGCTCCGCATCTTTCTTGGCCATCTCCTCATCCTTGGCATTGAGTTCCTCTATCTTCTGTTCTAGTTGTTGACCCATGGAATCTCTCTCTTTGCGTGCTTCGTCTAGTTGTTTTTTCATTTGTACCTTTTCTATCAGTAGGGTACTCACAATGTCATCAAGCGTGACTGGTTCTTGCGTTGGTGCCATGGAATTAGATGATTGTTGAGCTATCAGCTTTGCAAGCTCCTCGCTTTGCTTTTGTATGGCTTTGTCCCTATCATTTATCACTTTCTTCAACTCTGAAATTTCTTCGTCTTTTTGCTTTGATTCTTGCTCCATGAAATCTATCTTCTCTTGCATTATATTGTTGGTTGATTTCTCATCCTTCACAAGGTCTGCAGTTTACCATTATTAAAAAAAATTGAGAATTCGTTAAACTATATCCATAGGGTACCATTGTAAAATTTTACAGTTCATGATATTTGGGATGTGAAGTACAAGATCCCATCAGAAATTATCTACATTATTCTTTGATAAAAACATTTATCCTTGAGTTTCTGCCATAAAAAGTATCAATATAGATAATAGATATTACCATAAACTGCAAAGACTACGACAGCTAGCTGATTAAACAGATGAAAAGGAGGAGCAAGATCTAACAATGTTACTATGCATAATTTCATTAATTTATTTTGTTTGACAGTGGAGGGGCCAGATTGCTAGTCTCATCAATAATATATCAGTAATATATATTTCCCAAATGAAAAATTATATATTCTGTTTTTTAGATAAAAATTTATGAACTCCTGCACACGTAAATATATAACTGAACCTTTGTTATTATATTTAAATAAATTACAGAAAATGTATCTTAATTGTGATATTGTGTTTATGAATGAAAATTCAATAGCTGTACATTTGTTTGTACGGTAACGTAGAGATTGATTTATGTGTTGAAGCTACTGCAAAAGAAATAATTTAGGTAAATGAGGTCATTTCAACGGTTGGTCCTAGAGATAATATAAAGATAATAAAATTTACCACATGTAAGTTTGAATTTTGCATCCAAAACAAAGTTTTAATCTTTCTATAAAATAATTGCACAAGTGAAAATGTAGAACACTCACCGATCTTCAGTGAAATAGCTATTTTGATATCCTTAGAATTCGTCACAATTTCTTCCACCAATAATCCTCCTGATAACCCCTCTGTTGTTGGCGGCGTTGTTACTATCGACGACACAGTAGGCCGCAATCCTTGATTTTTCATCGCTACAATCTCATCGTCTTTCTTGTTGATAACTACTATTAGCTCTTCTATCTTCCCCTCCTTGGCATCCAACTCGTGAAATTTCTCAGCAATTTCTGCCTCCCGCTCCTTAATAATTGCTTCCAGCCCCTCAATCTTTTTATTTTTTTCTTCTAGATCCTGAACTTTCTGAGAATCATCTTTCTCACCCTTGTTGATAATTGCTTCCAACTCCTGGACTTTTTGGGCAGCATCTTCCTTACACTTTTTAACAAGGGCTTCCAGCTCCTGAATTTTTTGGGCAGCTTCTTTTGCACAATCCTTGATAATCGCCTCCAGCTCCTCTATCTTATTATTCTTTGCTTGCAGCTCTTGTTTTTTCCTGTTAGCTTCTTCCTCATCCTTCATAATAATTGCTTCCAGGTCCTTTATCTTTTCATCCTTTGATTCCAGCTCCTCATTTTTCTCCACGATCTCTTCCACGTACTTATCGATAATTGCTGCCAACTCAACGATCTTGCTCCTTGATTCAGCCAACTCCTCATTCCTCTTGCGAATCTCATCGTCCTTCTTCGCAATTTCATCCTCGCACCTCTTCAAAAGAACGTTTAACTCCTCGATCTTATTTTTCGCTGCATCCAGATCCTGAACTCCCTTGCGAATCTCCTCCTCTTTCTTCTTCATCTCCTCGTCCTTATCGTGCACCGCCTTGTTTTTGGCTTCCAGTTCCTTGCTTCTCGCGTCGATCTCCTTGCCTTTCGCTGCGATCTCGTTGCGTTGCTTGTTGATCAGTTGGTCCTTGTTGGCTATCTCCTCCTTTGCCTTCTTCAGCTCCTCCGTCAGCTCTCCTACCTTCTTCTTGTCGTCGCTGACGCTACTGCTGCTGGCAGCAGGCTCTTCCTTGAACCACTGCCATCCGAAACCGCTGGGGTTCTTGGCGCCCTGCAGCTCACCGGTTTTGGTGTACTGACAAACGATCTGGACGCCGGCGAAGTTGGCCAGCCGATGCCCTTTCTCAAAGGATTTGTAGAGCTTCACCAATGTGTCGCCGCTGATGACGTTGCCTTGAACATCTAACGCCGTGTATTCGGTGCCTTCGCCGTTGGGATGGATCTTCTCCACCAGCCGCCAGTCTCGGTAAGGGTACAATACTGCTCGATTACAGTGCTGGCCCTGCGAATCCATTACATGGATGGTGTTGAGCTCGTCGCCGGCGCAAGCGAAAAGGGAGCTGTTTGAATATAGAGGATAGATCTTCATACTTGTTACCCTTCTAGTTGGAATTGGAATTGATAAGAGGGAATATTGATATTTCAAGGGCTCGGCTCCTGAAAAATGGTGTAATCAACTGGGCTCTTTGATTTAATTAATTTGTGGTAGCTCTGGGAATCGGCCTCGTCTTAATTTATATCCGACGCCGGGTTTGAGTAAAAATTTCTTTATTTCATTTTTGTAAAAATTAAGGGAAAACATAAGTATATATGCAAGTATGCAACGCTTCCGGTTTTGTTTCTTCTTTTTCTGAAAGACAAGTGGACGTTAATAATAATGCTAATCAAAGAATGCCTTCCTTCCTTTGTGATTAAAGAATTAATACTTTAAATGGTGGTTATAAATCCTTAATTGTTTATGGGTGATGGGTTCAATGACAACATTGTTGATTAAAGAAAGACCTCTTCAATAAAGAAAATATATTAAGATGACCAAATTGCTCATCCGTAACTTTTTTTTTTTATTGGACAGCAGGATTAATATTAGTGATTAAAGATCGTCAAGTTGGTATCGGTGGTTTGAATTAACTTTTTTTTTATTTGAATTAACTTTCTAAACAATACATTCATAATTTTTAAATGCCAGCATGTAATAATTTAAAAGAAACAACTTGGATGGGTGGTGGATTTGTTTCGAGCATTAAATAGTGAAAGTGAAAAGTGGTTTGCTCATGGATGCACGAAATAGTTTGTTATTTTCGTTTAAGTTTATAATCATTGTTATTTCCATACTTTTTGGGAAAGGTTACGGTGATTACTATAAAAGTAGTAATACTATAAAAGTATTACGGTGGTTACGGTGATTACTATAAAAGTAGTAATCACCGTGGTTACTAAGGGTAAATTGGGTATAGAAAAATAAATTATATTAATTAATTTTTTAATAAATTACATTTTAGGTAGTTACAAAAATCTATTAATTAAAATCCTCTCTTTCTCTCACTTCCGTAATCTCCAGCCAGATTTCATTTCCATATTTATCTCAATCTTTCTGCAGAAAAAAAAACATGAAATCGCTACCAATCCATTAGACAAACACTACCACTTTGAAAAACATCAATACCATTGCAGAAATAAATCTATACCATTACACGAAAACTACCATTGTAGAAATAAATCTATACTATTATACGAAAACTACCAATATAAACAATCTATACCATAAACAATCAATACCATTGTAGAAATAAATCTATACCATTACACGAAAACTACCAATATAAACAATCAATACCATAAACAATCAATACCATTGCAGAAATAAATCTATATCATTACATGAAAA